CAAGGGCACAGCAACGAGTGTCGAATGGGTAAGTCCTGACAGTCGCAGCGTATCATAACTGTAAATTCCCATTAAAACACATTTGTAGTGAAAGCCAGTGCTGTACAAGCCAAATGCAATCCTGCCTTTTCTTGGACTTTCAGATCTGTCCCAATGGACACAGCTTGTGGAGGTGGAATTCCCAGCCTGTAATGAAGTGTGGGACGCAAGCTGGAGATTTTCTCTTGTCCACCAACATTTTGTTGTCTGGCAACGACTATGCGAAGGTCGCCCTCTTGTTCAAGTTCATGAACATGGGGATGGTGAAGAAGAACACCTTCGTGTCCATTCAGGACGCTTACTGTGTGGACACAGTGAAGAGCTTCTGGGAAGAGAGGAGGACTGAGGCCCTCAGTGGCCTTCAGGGGAAAGATGTTGTGGTCCTAGGTGCGTAGCTGAAACTTTACCATGTTATACAAGTATTGAAGACATTAGGCAATTTAGGTGTTTTATTTTATATACTTTTTTTCAGCGGATGGCACATATGACTCTCCAGGCCATCGTGCACATTACTGCAGCTACGCCACCATGGAGAATGACACCAAGGAGATCATTCATGTTGCTACCATCAACAAGCAGCAGACATCCTGCAACTCTGTCGTCATGGAGAAGGAGGGTTTTATCGAGACTGTGGACAAGCTTACATCAGAGATAAATCAAGAGGAGATCTGCACAGATGCTAATGCCCAGATCGCCGCCCCTATGAGTAAGTACTCATCTGATATAATTTACAAATACCTGTGCTTAAAAGATGATATTATATATAATATAGTATTTAGTGCTGGGCAACGCCTAAATTTTTAATTGCGATTAATCGCATAGTTATGCGCAAAACTGAATAATGACTTCTAAAGTAGTGTATTGCGCAGTTTTAATTATAATGTACTGCTATATACACAAAAGTCCTATAACATGTGGTTTGCAAACACTTTAAACAAATAATGTGCTTTTTACCAGCAGTATTCACTTTACACAGTAACAATAAAATGTTTCTTGGAAATCTCAACTTAAACATTAATGTAATCAAATCAAATATTAAACCTAAGCTGTTTGCCAGGGCATTACCTTTTATCTAGCTTGTTGAAACAAGTTACCGTCAGAGTCCAGTTTTCTTTGGGGTGGTTTCCTTCTTTTATCATGGAGCGCACAGAATCTGTTGCCATGGTTACTCTCAATAGAGTGCCTGCCATTTACTCACTCAGAGAGCGACCAGAAGTATGTGCGTGTAATAGATCCTGGATGTAAGAGGGAGCTTGACCATGCAAGGCTCTTGTAAGTAATGGATGTATTATCAGAGGGAATTTCTCTAGTGTTAAGAGGCGCAACTTTGTCCAACAGCAGCTTGCAGTGATCATTAAACGCCTGTGCACAAGCGTCCACGTCATTCGAAATAAGAACCGAGCTTGAATCAAATGCGGCTGAAAATGAAAAAAACTGTAAGCTGGTTAATGAAACGTGAGCAGGACGCTCGTTTAGCAGGGAGAGGATCCTCATCTCAAATAAGATGCATTTGTGATCATTAACATTATTAATGTTTATACCATGAGAAAGAACAAGTTTGAGCATATGTCCCTTGCTGTGCGTAGGACCAGAGACATGCTGAGTGAAGTTAAAAGATTCAGTAATATTTACAAATTCAGAAGCATTTCTGCAAGCGTCATCATCCACACAAATATTAAAATCACCAACAATGATGATCACTCTGTCCAGCTTAATAATGGATGATAAGAAGTCCAAAAAATCAGTAAGAAAAGAGGCTTAGTCATCTGTAGTTCAAAAGAAGAGTATGTGCCAGCGCTCGCTGACTGGCAGATAAAACGTTTCCGTGAGCAACAGGAAGTCCATGTTTTCGTAAGTAAATAAATCACTGAGCAAAAGAGACTTATTTGCAATTGAGCGGGCATTTATCAGACCCATCCTGAGCGGTGCAGGAACACCTGAAGCAGATAAAGAGGCTCGCGGCAGCGACCTCGGATGCACAGAACACGCACCGTGACCAGTGGTACCTGAACCTGCCTCCCCGCCCTTTTTTCCTCGCTTTCTCAGCCGTCTATTTGTAGGTCGCATTAGGTCCTCTCCATGCCGCATACAGACAGCAGTTGGAGTCGGACGTACGAACGGGGCTGCAAACTCACCTGTACCACTCCAGGTACATCCGTCACCGCACTCTGCCATGGAGGATCAGATCAACAGCATTGTGTGGCGATCATACACCTATGCAGTAGCCACAACATTTGTTGACAAACTTATAAAATATAGCGCAGGAAACAAACAAAACGAGTTGGGACGAACAACCAGCCGCAGCGGCGAAGCCAAACACAGGCGCCATGCCGGAACCGGAAAGAGGATAAGTAATAAGTCTTTAGACTTCAGGAAAGCCTCGTTTTGACTCTCACTCCAAGTTCAGGTACTGAACTTCGTGCATTTGCTTCTTTTTAGCCTGAGACCAGCATCCTCCAACCTGGTTCACACCTCATCCAGGTTCCTGAGGTGCATTTCTTTGGTTGCTCCAGTTACCAAAATATCATCCAAATAGAGGAGACCTGCTACTGACCCTGATCCCATCCTCGACGCCAATATAACATAGTGGATCAGCGTTTGTCAAAGGAGGGACCAGGGCTTCAGCAGTAGGTTTCTTTTGGCTTTAAATCAAACATTTCAGGCAGCACAGACATAACACACACATGCCACCAGGGGGCCTCTACATGTAGCTTTTCTGGCAGGTAACTTCCTGCCAGGTAACAAACAAACATTCCCTCTAGGGTGATACCAAATACTAGCAATCTCAGGCTATTACAATATTGTAGTAATAATAAATGCTTCTCCACTTTACAGACCCAGATGAAGGCAGATACAAGGATCTTGGAATTCATCACAGTCAGGACATGTGGCATGGTGCCAAGAAGCTGGTCAAAAGAATAGCAGCTGTAAGTTGAATAAGTGGCTCATGTTATTTTCTACAGTATGTATTCATCATGAAGTGACTTTAGGGGTATTTAGCTCCTACCTCCTGAAGGTGTGTTAATCACTGAAGTCATCTGGTGTTATCTTTGGTCGGGATGAAAATCTGCTTACTCTCAGCCGTCCATGGAATACAGTTTAATATCCAATGGGGCTGTAATGGTTCTGAAACCGAGACCGAAATCACGACCCAGAAGCCCAAGACCTCGTGTCGCGGATCCGAGACAGAACCACAACACACCCGCTCCGTGGACTGTTGAGCTCTCATTAAGACGGTAGCGATGTAAATCGCATTTCTAATGAAAGTAGGTTATTGTAGGTAATTTTCCACCTTATTTTAGTGTTTATTTACTACTTGAATCTGCTCCTCTCCTCTGCTCCCCCCCCACACACACACCGAGCCTGCACCTCTGACAATCTTTCTGTGTCTCTCTCCCTGAATGTGTCTCAGCTGACTTTCTCCATCGGCAGTATGTGTCATAAAGTCAGCGTGTTTAATAAACTCACCCGTGTTCAGTTTTAGAGTGCGCTGCATGTGGATCGAAAACAAAACTTAATATTAGTGAGTGATATCTGCAGTGATGTGTAATATAATATTCCACCGTGCCCGTCAACGTTAAGGATGTGCATCTTCACTGGTCTCACGATTCGATTCGATTCCTCGATACATCACCTCAAGGATGGGAATTTCTACCTACCTCAATACGATTATGAGGCTGCGATGTGATTGTAAAACAAACAGGAGAAAGATGGATTTTCCTCACTGTTTGACTATTTGGTACTTTTAAAGCACAGTAATTATAACAATCCAAAAATAGTAGGTAGTAATGAAATGCAGCTATTTAATGTTACTTCATATAAATGTAGCTAACATTGCATAGCATTATTACAGCGTTATTACTGACCTTTGCTGCTCCTATTTTCATTTATGAGGCTGCTGTTATTAGTATAGAGTACGTTTTGAACTACGCACTTTATAACGCTCCAGCCAGCTGCCAGACCGCAGTCTAAGAGGAGATGTTTGCTAACGATAACTGCCTTTCTAGTAGTTGGAAAACACCAGACAGACTTTAATTAACGGACCCGCTGTGACCTGCACTGTACATTTACAGCCAGACTGAAACGTAGCGCTCATGTTTTCCTCTGCTCCGCTCGTTTTCACCGTCGCCTACTGCCGCCTGTCACGTAGCTGTCATTTGAAGAATGAGCCGAGGACACTCGAGAGCGCTACCGCGCTGCACAGTGAGCGGGCTGCACAGTGAGCGGGTCAAAATCATCAAAGTGAGTTATGCATTGACTTTATTGATCATGTGAAAGTTTAGTAGCAGCAGTCACTCAGTCAACAGCTGCCTGTCTGTGCCGAACAGGGAAAACCACGTGTCTCCGTTGTGTGCACCGCACAGATGGTCCGGAGCTGCACTTCTGGAGTGACCTGCTGTTGAATACATCTAACTCTACAACGAGTACTTCGAGATTTCAAACATGTTTCTTTACATGTCCCCTCTTTATTTTATTGAACTTTTGATATATATATATTTTTTTTATTATTCCACATTTCCGAGTTCCGCCTTTTTCGTTCCGTCAACATTACGTTATCAGTTAACCTCTAGATAATCGATTATTGACATTTGTGAATTGATTCATAATCGTTCAAGTCCGCATCTAAAAATCAATTATTTTCTACACCCCTAGTCAATGTAATATCAGATAACATCTCGCTCTGTGTTTCTCTTCAAAATGCTAAAGTGGGTTTCCAAATATACTGTGACAGGTGTAGATATTACCTAGCTGGCCTGCCCCAGTAAAGTAATTTGTTGAAAACACTGTGTATTAAAAGTTGGTGCAATATTTAGGCCTATAATTTCTAAATATTACACCTTCGACCAATTTTATTGTCTTCTAACCAGTATGAACTGAACTGTGGATGTGGTGTATTGTATTGTATTGTTACACCCCTAATATCCATGTCCTATTTTATTATGTATGTTTTGCTCCGCAAGGCAGCAAAGATGGAAGGACAGGTCGTCCTCCTCATCTGGCTGAAAGACATCGTAAACCATTTCTGGTGGTGTTGTAAGAAAGCTGACACAACCAAGAAGTTTTTAGTAAGCACGTCTTTTTAAATATTTTTTCTTTTAAGCAAGTTAATTTATTTCCATATGAAGGATCCTTTTATAGTGCTCTTCTGTTTTCCACAGGCACTATGGATTGGCATCATTCACCATGTCTGTGACGTTCACACCTGGACTAATGGAAGGTGTCAACATGGAAGGCACCTGAAAGAAACACGTGGAAAGGCGTGGGTCATGAAAGACTCCAGGTGCCACAAAGCTTTAGTTGACATCGTGTTCAATAAACGTTGGCTGAAGGATGTGCATAAATACCTGCGCTTCAGGTACCGTGTGCCTGCATGTTTCAAACAGCTGTAAATAATGACTATTTGTATGTATATATTTGTATAATGTATTTTATATATGTGTACAGTTGCAGGAATAAGTATGTGAACCCTTTGGAATTACCTGGATTTCTGCATAAATTGATCATAAAATGTGATCTGATCTTTAGTTATTTAATTATATGTTTTTATTGAACACACCGTGTAAACATTCAAAGTGCAGAAAAAGGTGTGTGAACCATAGGATTTAATAACTCTTGAGGTCATGTCTCAGTTGGGTTGAGGTCAGGCCAGAAGGCATATTGTCTTCTACAGAATAGGCCGATATTGAAAGCTGTTATGTGTGTGGGCTATAATACCTTTTTCTGAATGGATTATGTTACAAAATAAGCCTTAGACTACAGTCTTAACAGAACATCTAAACAATTGCACATCAATAAACATTTGCTGGTAGAAGGTGCAACTTTTTCAGACATCTGTAAACAGAGAGTCAGAGAGCATAATCTGCCACTTTCAATAGATTATACTCACATCTAGTTTATTCCTTAACTAGCACTCTTTAATTCTAACCAAAGCTATAAGAAACCATTTCTCAACTACTCACTATTTCTAAAACATGCCGTCTATGATACAGTGACCTGCTGTTGAATACATCTAACTCTACAACGAGTACTTTGAGATTTCAAACATGTTTATTTACATGTCCCTTTTTTTTTAAACATGTATTTTATTGAACTTTTGTTATTTTAACAAACAACAGCACATTACATACAATAAACGGGCACTAAGGATCAAAGCAGAAGCTGTGGCATCCAAAGTCATGAATCATGAGTCATGAGAAGTGTACACTCACACTTGTTATGACCGTAGTAATAATAATTTATCACATAACCACATTCAGCACCCTACCATCAACAAGGGTATAGGTCTTACTGGGAAAAAAACATTTACACCTTTAATCCAGCTAGTTATCAATCCACCCCTTTACATCCATATTGTTACTTTCAAGAAGATTGTAGAAAGTATTCCATATTTTCCAAAACTTGTCAAGCTCATTTGTTGTTATGTAACAGTGTGTATCTGAATTCCATAAATAGGCAATACATCGTATCATATTCAATGAAGACCTGATTTTGTTTGAGTTTATAAAGCCCTCTGGGTAGAAGTTTAATAAGCACATTTTAGGACTAAGGGGAACTTCCTCACCAATGATCTGGCTCGCCAGATCCATCACTTGCCTCCAGAATGACCGTATTCCCACATTCCCACACAATGAAATAAAGTTCCTTTTTGATCCTTACATTTAACACGAGTATCGGGTATGTTAGAATTAAAATGGTGCAACTTAGCTGGGGTTATGTATAGTCTAGTTATCAATTTATATTGCAATATTTTATAGTATATAGTACCACAGTTGTAATTCACCTATCATATGGAAGATACAATAGGGATAGCCTGTGTCTTCGATTCTTATTGTTCCATGTAAAATTTGAAAAAAGCTTTTTAAGTGTACGAAAGTGGAGGAGCAAGTGGGATGGATTGGTAGATTGGAAGAGATAGAGAAATTTAAGTACAATTTCCAAATAATTATTTGTCCAATCATCAAAGGGTAAATTATTGCACCTATTAACAAGCTGTGGAACATTGTCTGCCAGTGGTTTGTAGTTATAAGTTTTTATTCCATCGGTAGTAAGGGGGATCTTAACACCTAAGTAGGTGAAACCATCACGTGAGACCATAAAGGGAGTATGAATTGGAGGGTTCAGTCTCTCCTTTTCATCCATAAATAATATTTCAGATTTGGTGTAATTAATTCTGTATCCTGCAAAGGAGCCAAAGTTGTCTATTAAGTCAAGTAAAGCTTGTGAAGACTGTTTCAGCAAAACAGAATTACATCATCGGCAAACAAGGCTGTACGGTGTTCCTTATTCTCTATCCTTATGCCTTTAAAGATGGAATTATTACAAACAGCCATGGCAAATGGCTCAATCACCAGTGTAAACAACAATGGAGACAGGGGGCCGCCCTGTCTAGTACCCCTGCGCAGTTTAAAAGGTTCTGAGAGCAGTCCATTTGTTAAAACTATAGCCTGGGTCAGACTGCTCAATACGCCAGGCTAATAGCTTACTAGCCTTTCCCCCTTGCTCATAACAAGACTGCTTCAGTTTCAGCAAGCTTTTGGCTGTTGTACTTACAGATAAAACATTATATTTAGCTCTAAGTTCATTACGCTTTTTAAATTACCACTGAGAAGGGTGTGTGAAATATTCAACTTCTGTTCCTTTTATTGTTTTCTCTAGTTGTTCCATCTCCAACCTCCAAAATTTGTGTTTAGAGCTCGTGAAACTTCAAAATCATCTGGCCTCTCAGAAATGCTTTAAATACTTCCCATCGTATAGAAGCCGAAGTTTGAGTTGTATTTATTAAAAAATAATCATTGATTTGTTTTCAAATAAACTCCATAAATTCTGGGTTGGGGCGTACAGGGCCAGGCACAGGAGATCGCGGAGCGACCGGGCACAGCCCGGATGGTCGGTGATCGTTCCCTCTGGCTGGATGAAGCATGATCTGCTGGCAATTATTTGCATCTGGGTCATTCCAGCATACTGTAGCTGTTTCTGCTGGGATTTCCCAAAGCAGGTTTTCAGGTGTGCAATCCCAAGTGCAATCTTGGGCAGGATGGGCAACTACGTACGGTTTCCCTATTCTTGGGACGCACTGAATGAAACAAAACAAGGTTTTTACGCAGTGGCTGCTTTCCCTCCCGACTCTCCATGGCAGACACCATTAAAACACAAAACCCTCGTTTAAATACTGCCACCTCCATTGTGTTTGCTCCTGTTGTCATCTACGCAATAATTCTTAGTTGATCGGCCATAACAGGTGCTACAATTTTAATCTACAATTAGATTACACCATTCGCTAGTCAGTGACCAGTGCTGCGCACTTGCCTCTGCGATCCAAGCATCAGATTTCAGCCCGTGCACAAACTTCTATTCACTTCTATTGCCGTGACAAAGATATGCCGTCTTCCCCCGACTGTCACCAGTAGTTTAGCTAGGTGGACTATTCCGTAACGTAGGTCAGGGATGGAGAGGGAAGCCAGTTCTTTCTTTGGTGAGTCAAAAGCTTTTCTCCGTTTAAGCAGATCCGCAGAAATGTCGGGGGAGAACATAACCTTCTAATCATCGACAAGCAGCTTTCTTTGGTCCTGGTAGCTTTCATAATTCATACCTTGTCTGCGTAGTTTAGGAATTTCATCAGCACCACTCTGGGTTGCACCACAGTCCGTTGATTCCCATCCTTGTTGTCCATGTCCATCCCATTCTGCCGAGTTGATGTGCTCTTTCAATTTGTGCTGGTCCCGGAAAGTTGTATTCACCATGCATGTCAGGAATCCACTTCTCCAAAAAAGCAAACGTCACCTCCTTCTGTTGACTTCGGCAGACCCACCAAGCTGAGGTTTGAGCGGCGGGCTCGATTTTGCAAGTCATCCACTTTAACACTAGTTCTTCCATAGCCGCCTTCATTGTAGTGGTCTGTGTTATCAGTGAGGCCATGTTGTCCTCATCGGTGCAAATTCTGTCCTCCGCTTCGGTCATTTGGCCAGCCAGTGCAACTCACCCTGCACACTCTGGTCAAAAAGCCCATCAAATCTTGATAAGAAGTCTTCTTTCAATGTATGGATGCCGTCAAGAATTTTTCCGGAGCTAGCCATATCGTCTGGAAGTCTAGTAGTCGATTTTGCAGGTTTGGCTGACGGTCTTGTAGGCATTAATACGGTATCTTGTCTTTACAGACAGCTAGTAACTGTTCATCAATTCCTTGAGGCTATCTGGCCACTATTGAGTTTCACACGGGTGAGAGAAGTCAGTTTTATCATTTCTGACACATCGACTGTAACTAGAGACAAGCAGGTCACAGATATATTTATAATATGTATATATATAACACTATAGTTAACCTCTCATTACATTACATAAGCGCTCTGCCACTGATAAACATGGCATTCGCTTTGTGGCTAATCTAATTTAGTAACGGGCAGCATTAGCTGCTGTTTGTGAATATTTAGAAGTGAACTAGGGAGAAATGAGAGGACCGTTCACTAGAACTGCCACTGGTACACTACTGAACTTCACAAAATTAAATCCCGTAAGTGTCAACTGGAAAGACTACAAAAAAACTGGCTAAACAGTTAACCTTCACGCATACACAGACTACCTTCACCAATACAAAAACGCTCTCAACTTCACCACTTTCCCTGTCCCCCCACCCACCCCCACCTATTCACACTCTCAGTCACTGTCTTGTTTCTCATCTCTGTTACCTCTAAAACTGCCACAATTCGCCACAAAAATGAATTAACTCCAACTGCAGCTTAGACGTCATCCCATCATCCCTAATCAAGAACTGCTTTCCTTCACCCCACTCATCATCAAAATCATTAATTCCTCCCTGACATCTGGATCAGTCCCCACAACACTCAAAGTTGCAGCTGTCACCACCATCCTCGAAAAACCTGGTCTCAACCCCATCATCATGTCCTGACCTATCTCCTCTTCCTATCCTGGAACGTGTTATCGCTACTCAAATTCACACCCACCTCACCACTAACAATCAGTTCCTCAAAGTAATCAATGTCCTCCTACTATTCCCCTGACTTCGGTCACCTCACCATCCTAATCATGCTCGACCTCACTGCAGCCTTCGACACCATCAACCACTCCACTCCCGATTGGAAACTTACTCCAATATTACGGGCACCGCACTCTTCTGGCTCCGCTTTTACCTCACCAACAGACAACAGTTCATCAACATCAATAACTGCACCTCCTCCACTGCTCTGTCACAAGGTGTCCCCCAAGGTTCGGTGCTTGTTTCACTCCTGTTTATTACATCCTGCCACTCAGAAATACCATATGGTATCCACTTCCACTGCTACGCCGATGACATCCAAATAAACATCTCCACCAAATCCATCATCACAGTTACATCTGCTACTCTGACCAACTGCCTCACCGACACACAAACCTGGATGCAAACCAACTTCTTACAACTCAATTACAATAAATCTGACATGATCATCATCGGCCCCAAATCACTCACAAAAAAAACACCAACAACTTTAGCCTTTCCATCAACTACTCCACCCTGTCTCCATCCCCACACATCCGCAACCTTGGAGTCATCTTTGACAGCAACCTCACTTTTGAACACCACATCAACCATGTCACCAGGACTGCCTTCTTTCACCTCAAAAACATTACCCGTTTCCATCCATCACTGACCTTCTCTGCTGCCGAAACCCTGATCCACGCCTTCATTAAATCCAGAATTGACTCTATTGACTTTATGGTTCACCTGCCAAAGCCCTAAATAAACTTCAATATATCCAAAACTCCACTGCCTGGCTCCTCAATCTGGGAGGGGTGTTAACTTACAGTAGTCCTCAACACAGCGGACTACCAGGACAAGGTCAACACACTACTAATGGACAGAAACGCATATGAGACACTGAGGTGAGACCCAACCAGTGGATACAAGAAAAAGGCTATAGAATGTCTACAACAGCTACAAAAAGAAAACACCATCACCCGTGACCGTATCACTGTTTGTATGCTGGAGAAGCCATTCCTTGCATATATGGACTACCCAAGATACACAAAGAAGGAGCCCCACTTGGGCCTATTATTAGCAGCATTAACTCAGACACCTACAACATTGCCAAACACACATCTACCATTTTAGCCCCTTTGGTGGGTAACACACCTCACCACATCCAAAACTCCATTGACTTTGTAAACAAAGTTCGAGGACTGAAACTGGACCCAGGTGAAACCATGGTATCCTATGATGTGACTTCTTTGTTCACCTGCATCCTCACCATGGAGGCAGAAACTGTAAGGAAACGGCTACTACAAGACAGCACCCTGGACAATAGAACTAACCTCAGCCCTGACCAGATCTTTAAATTACTCTACCTCTGTCTACACACCACCTATTTCCAGTACAACGGATGATGCTACAGACAGATGCATTCCGGTATCCCCTGTTGTGGCTTAGAGCAAAGCCCTCAACTCATTCAGAGGAACGGCACTGAGCCACTGGTACTGATATGTGGATGACAACCCAGGAAGTGCAAGCCTTCACAGAACACATCAACTCCGTGGACAGTAACATCAAGTTCACACGAGAAGAGTTTGGCCTCCCTGGACTGTGCGGTACACATTGAAGAGGACCACTGGAGCATAAGCTAGCTTGTTGGCTGCACATCCATGTAGGGCTGGGCGATATGGCCAAAAATGTTATCACGAGAAGAAGTTTCATATATTTCGATATCGATAATTATCATGATAAATATGAAATCGTTACTACTTTCGTCTTTTAAAGGATGATTTTTGCTCCTGAGTGAAAGTTAAAGAAACCTGATTGTTAATTGTGTTCAAACTCTTCTTTATGGTCAACACTTGAGGCCAAACAGTTGATCACTTCTCCAATCTGAGGTAGAACATTCAGAACAATTGAGATAAAATCTTTGGCAACAAATATATATAAATAAAATGAAGTAAAAGCAAATAAAATGTTGCCAAATTATGACCCTACCATCTTAATGTTGCAGCTGAAATCGAGACTCATCAGACCAGGCCACTTTTTCCAATCTTCTATTGTCCAATTTTGGTGAGTCTGTGTGAATTGTAGCCTCAGTTTCCTGTTCTTAGCTGACTGGATTGTCACCCGGTGTGGTCTTCTGCTGCTGCAGCCTATCTGCTTCAAGGTTCGACGTGTTGCGCGTTCAGAGGTGGTATTCTGCATTCCTTGGTTGTAACAAGTGCTTATTTGAGTTGCTGTTGCCTTTCTGTCGTCTTGAAACAGTCTGCCCATTCTCCTCTGACCTCTGACATCAACAAGGCATTTTCGTCCACATCACTGCCGCTCACTGGATATTTTCTCTTTTTCCGACACTTTTCTGTAAACCCTAGAGATGGTTGTGCGTGAAAATCCCAGTAGATCAGCAGTTTCTGAAATACTCATACCATCCCGTCTGGCACCAACAACCATACCACGTTCAAAGTCAATTAAATCCCCTTTCTTCCCCATTCTGATGCTCAGTTTGAACTTCAGCAAGTTGTCTTGATCACATCTAGAAATACATTGAGTTGTTGCCATGTGATTGGCTGATCAGCTGTTTGTGTTAAAAAGGAATAGAACAGTGGTACCTAAAAAGTGGCATGAGTAATTATTATATATTTTTTTGTTGTTCAATCAGATCAACTGCAGGCCTAGAGGCTTTCCACAACCATATATTGATGTATGTCAGCAAGCGCTTCACCTTCAGTCCCCCAGTTCATGAGGCAAGAGTTCTGCTTGCTGCTCTGGACTATAACTTCCACCGGAACCGACCAACATTAAAAACAGCAGAAGGCAAAGAGATGTACGTTTTTAACTTGAAATATTCCCATTTACATTCAATATTTTGTATGAAAGTGATTATTTATTTTTTTGTGCACTCAAGGTTATCAGTTGTTATAATGACTTACTAATATTAAATGGTTGAAAATTTGTGTAATTACAGTTTCAGAAGGCTGCACAGGAAAAACTGCAGAAGTTACAAGTTGTATGCCCTGAAATTTGAAAAAACCTACTCCTACATCTCTGAGCTGCAAGCAAGGATTGTAAAGAGGAGAATCACAAGTGGAGTGGGGATGCCTAGAATTAAGACAGGTAAGACTTTGTTTACCTCCAGGCCTGAAGTTGATGGTGACTTGATGTCATCCTGCTGTCATCATCAGATCAGACAGCACTTTCTGGAGGGCTGATAACATCAACAAGTTGGTAATTTAATTAGGAAGACTTGTTGAGACAAAAGGGTACAAATTATACTACAACACTTTTAAAGACTCCTTCACTACTTGCCTTGGATGGTACCATCTGGTTACACGTGTTCTTGACCTGTATCCTAAGATTTAGTATGGGAACTCCATCATGAGTTATGATACATTATCTATCAATTTTCTAGAAAATGGCTGCCAACAATATTTTGCTGTGTGTTTCAGTGTTCCCTGCAGATGCCCAGCAGCTGTTGGTGATTAAAGAAGAGGTTCCCTCTGAGTGGAGCCCCAGTCTGGACCAGGAGGACCCAGAGCCCCTACACATAAAGGAAGAACAGGAGGAACTCTGGATCAGTCAGGAGGGAGAGCAGCTTAATGGACTGGAGGAGGCTGATATCACCAGGTTCCCATTTACTGCTGTTACTGTGAAGAGTGAAGATGAGGAAGAGAAACCTCAGTCTCCACAGCTTCATCGAAGACAAACTGAGGACAACAGAGAGGCAGAGCCTTCAGCCAGCAGCTCAGCTACGCAGATAAAAACAGAAACTGATGGAGGATCAGAACCTGCTGGGAACCTTGATCCAGATAGTCATTTACAACCAGATACTGATGAAAAAGCTTCAGACACTGAAGTCAGTGAAAATGACTGGCAAGAACCTTTGTCAGATTCTGAAGCTGAAAGTGAAGACAGTGACAATGGTTGGAAGGAGACCAGAGCACCTGAGTCAGGTGTCAATGCTCTGAAATATAAGGAACCTGTAAGTGATGCAGGATGTAATGCTGGGAAAGAATCATTTAGCTGCTCAGAGTGTGGTAAACAATATCACTACAAGAGGTCTCTTCAGAGACACATGAAGTGTCATTCAGAAAAAAGGTCCTCCAGCCGTCTGGTTAATAAAAAATATTTCAGAGTGAAGGAAAATGTAGATTCACAGATGGGAGTCCACACAGGAGTGAAACGATTTAGCTGTAATGTTTGTGGTAAAAGATTTACCCAGAGCTCAAGTCTTAAGACACACATAAAAGTGCACACAGGAGAGAAACCATTTAGCTGTGATGTTTGTGGTAAAAGATTTAACCAGCAGAAAAACCGTAAGACACACATGAGAGTCCACACAGGAGAGAAACCATTTAGCTGTAATGTTTGTGGTAAAAGATTTACCCAGAGCTCAAGTCTTAAGACCCACATGAGAGTCCACACTGGAGAGAAACCATTTATCTGTGATGTTTGTGGTCAAAGATTTACCCAGAGCTCAAGTCTTAAGATCCACAAGAGAGTCCACACAGGAGACAAACCATTTAGCTGTGATGTTTGTGGTAAAAGATTCAACCAGCACACACATCTTAAGACACACATAAGAGTCCACACAGGAGAGAAACCATTTGGCTGTGAGGTTTGTGGTAAAAGCTTTAACAGGGAGCCATATCTGAAGAGACATATAATAGTCCACACAGCGTAGAAACTGTTCAGTTTTCGTTCTTTGTTTCATTTTTTGTTTTTCCTCATGTTGTGGTCTTTAACAAATATTTTGCTTACGTAGATTGACTGAATGGCTCTGTGTGGTAAGTAAACGAAATACCACATTTACCACCGGATATAAAACAGACTAATGAACACACTTTTCTCATGGCTTGTTGTGGCTGAATCCAAATGGACAAATGGTGTCTGTCAACACTTGAAAGCTGCAAAGATTCAAAGATGTACCTTTCGAGCTCCACTACCTGTCTACCAAAAACATGTCATGTCACCTGTTTTATTGTAGTTGTCTGCGCGCTCTCATAAAAGGGGTGTGTTCGGCCATGCAGACAGAGTTTTTCACAATGGCTCCTGCTCCGTATTTTTCTCCGGATATGCTGCTTGCTGTGGGACTTGGCCATATTATGTGCCACGGGAAATTTCACATGCCATCGCTGTTGCTGTTTACATTCTTGTTACCCAAACAACAAACTGTGGGTAACAAAGGACATCGAGGACAACCTGAATTCAGGGGGGACCTGAAGGTGAGGGAAGCTAAGGAGAAGTACAGGAGGAAGCTCGAGCGCAAACTCCAGCAGAACAACATGAGGGACTTCTGGAGTGGCATGAGGAACATCACTGGCAGCAGAGGAGTTGAAGGCAGCTTGGACAGGGCCAACAAACTTAAAGGAGAGCTCCGGGCAATTCTCCCGTGGGAACTAAGTTGTTGCTGGAAAAAGGTAAAGGTATTACTGCACATCTCTCCTCAAGCCGTGTGCCCAAATGGAGGGATAAATAAAGTTTACATTACCTCCACAGTGGTTGCACCCCTCTTCGTCCACGGAATGGCATTTATCTTCAACCGGCCCCACTGTGTTGTGTCTGTGTAGTCATCCTTGTCAAAGTGTTTGCTGCAAATGCGGTAATCTTTAGCGCGTAGTACTTGTATGGGAGTTTGCACATCGAGTTGAAGTAGAACTAGCCACACCTGCAGAATCTCGAGGTCATGGAAAGGAAGACGATGGAAATTTAAGTTCTTGTATTTTCGCATTCTGTTGCCACAATTCGGAACGGCACAAACGCGAACGATTTCTTCTTCACTTGTGAGCAACTCCGATCTTCACACACTACGCTCCTCCCACCTGCACACTGCTATTTACCTTTTTCCGGCAACAACTGATTTCCCACGGGCCTTCAGCGCGAGACTACAGCTAGCCGTCTGAAACACTATTTAGGTGAATTTAAACAATGGCTAAACGCATCTTGTTGCCATGTAAGGCCCCTGTTCATGTTGGACAGACATTTTAATTGCATTTTGTGCCTGTTAAGAGGCACAAAGACACTCTTGACCCCAATAACACCCCCATAACTGCCGTTTTAGCTGAGTGGGAGCTCTGGGCATTAGCTGTAGCATCTCCACGTTGCAAGCACCAATCCGGTTAGTGCCTCGTTCCTGTGCCAAAGACGCCACGTCCCAGTGGCTCCAAGGACTACAGACCTGTGGCACTGATCTCCCACATCATGAAGACCCTGGAGAAACTGGTTCTGGATCAGCTGCAGCCATGGTCAGACCTCTCCTGGATCCCCTCCAGTTCACCTACCAGCCCCGACTGGGAGTTGAGGACACCATCATCTTCCTGCTCAACCGCATCTACGCACACCTGGACAAGCTGACGAGCACTGTGAGGGTCATGTTGTATGACTTCTCCATTGCTTTCAACACCATCCGGCCGGCCCTGCTGGGTGAGAAGCTGACAGCGATGCAGGTGGTGCTCCCCTCATGTCCTGGATTGTTGATTGTTGACCACAGTATGTGTGTCAGACAGCGTGGTCAGCAACACCGGGGCCAACCATCTGCAGCTCAACATCACAAAGACTAAGGAGCTGGTTGTGGATCTAAGGAGAGCAAAGACACCGGTGACTCCTGTTTCCAGCCAGGGGGTCCCTGTGGACCTTGTGGAGGACTACAAATACCTGGGAGTGCACATTGACAATAAACTGGATTGGGCTAAGAACACTCAAGCCCTCTAAAGAAGGGGACAGAGATGTCCCTATTTTCTGAGGAGGCTGAGGTCCTTCAACATCTGCAGGACGATGCTGAGGATGTTTTATGAGTATGTGGTGGCCAGTGCTATCCTGTTTGCTGTTGCATGCTGGGGCAGCAGGCTGAGGATAGCGGACGCTAACAGACTCCACAAACTGATCCGCAAGGCCTGTGACGTTGTGGGGGTGGAGCTGGACTCTCTGTAGGTGGTGTCAGCGAGGAGGATGTTGTCCAAAGTACATGTCATCTTGGACAATGTCTCCCACCCACTCCATGACGTGCTGCTCAAACACAGGAGCACTTACAGTGCAAGACTTATTCCCCCAAAATGCACCACAGAGCGCCACAGGAAGTCATTCCTGCCTGTGGCCATCAAACTTTATAACTCCTCCCTCTAAGTGTCTAACACACGGACACTTAGAAACCTGGACATTATTATCTGTTTTTTGCAATAATACCTGGTTAAATACTTAATATGCAATACTCTGCTGCTACTATTTATTCATTATTACTGTTCACCATAACAAGTCCTTTAATTATGTAAATACTGTCCTATAACAATTCCTTTAACAATGTAAAAATTGAACCTATCCACACTCCTATATATGTTCTTTTCTTTTATATTTTTACTCTGATACTTATATACTTCTTATATGCCAACTTTCTATCTTTATTTATTTATATTCCTTTTGCCTTTTGTGCAATGTGTGCAACTGTGACACAGAATTTTCCCTCAGGGATCAATAAAGTATTTCTGATGCTGGCTAAATATAACACCGTGGTGGCCCATTAAGTAAATTTTTATTTATCTAAATAGTGTTTTTTTATAAATTTCTATTTTGTATTTTATGGACTTCTGTTATGGCGTAATATGCTTAAGATATCTGTTGAATAAAAAATGGAGCCGGGATAATAAAAGTAATAAACTTGAATATTTTCTGACGTTACTGTCAGACAAAAATAGTGTGTGGGCGGGGGGTTCAAGGAACCACATCGCTTCATTTTGTAAATTGGGCTTTTTCAGTCTTTTTTTGTGACTTTAATATCTAGTTAATTTTATTTTTATCCCCCACCCTGTGTGTTTTTTGGACCCATAAAACAGT